ATATTGTCTTGCTTTCTTAAAAAGTTCAAAAGTATCCATAGACCAGACCATTTTCAGGGACCTTTCGCTTGCACTGTGTGTGCTGTCCACTTCCATTTGCACTTGTTCCTTTTCATGGTATTTGCGAACAATTTTGTTTTATCTGGTACAAATGTCGCCGATTGTATTGACAATATAAAAATATTTTCCAATAGCCGTACCAAACCTAAAATAAGCGCCCTTAGCTGTCAATCAAAGACTTTTTTAAAAATTCATTCGTCAGTAACATTTGCCACAATTTACCGACTTGGTCGAGTCAGTATTAATATATTCTTTGATGTCATCTTGCCCTTTCTTAACTACTCTACCAAATCTAGTGATAGATTAAGCAAACTGCTTGCACACAATCTTCTGGCTATCGATAAGATTTGATCTGCGAAGTTAGCAAAGGCAGCACTTTGTTTTGATACTACCCTCCAGTCTGTTTAAACAAAAGGTCACATTTTTGTGGGTCACTCTGCCTATGCGACAGGTGAACACCTCAACAAGCCACTGAATCTGTGTGATTCAACTGCCCATTCGCCACAGGGCTGCAAAACTGGCAACTGGGTGGTTGAATCATGTGGAAATTGGGGACAGGCGTGACATAAGTGATTAACTTACAGAAGGATTGAAACACTTTGCATTAATCTTTCAAACTCGGGATTTTAACATGATAAGGCGTATCAAAGGCTAGAGTGCATAAAGGGATCAAAAAGTCATTTTTAGAAAATTTTGTCACTTAGGCAGTTGAATCACACGACTAGCGATATGCGAAATTTGCAGTAGGTACTGTCAGCTTTCTAAATCTATTTTGAGACCTTAATCCATTTGTTATTTATCAATGACCCATTTAAGAGTCACTGACTTTACAATACACGAGAGTAAACAATAAAAATTGCACTTTCCATAACAATTCCACATTTATTAGTAATCTTTAAGTATTGTTTTAGTAAGAGTTTTACGGCACTTGCAACACAATTAGGTCATATAAGTGCTGAAGATTAGACGTTTTACAAGAGAGTAACAAACACAAAAAAGAAAGGGGAGAGAGACAAGGACGATAAGATGTTTAATTGGACAGAAGGATCAACCAACTTAAAACAACATTTTTTCACTTCTAAAATGAAAAAGCCTGATTTAAAACAGATTCTTTAGATACATTGGAGGCCATGAGGTATTCCAACCATGCTCACCTTTTAGGAATGACTCAGTGCTACCTATTGGGGATGTTAGGTCATACTTAAACACTCTTTGAAAGTACACGTCTGAGAGTGTTATGAAGCCTCTTGCAAGAAAGAACAGCATTTGATCAAAATATCATCAAAACTAATCATTTTACATGAAGACTTACCGTTCGCGACAATACACTTTTCTTCGGAACAGACGAAGATGACCGGCTAAATGGATTCCTGAAAATAGAAATTTATAAAACCATGCTCTTCATTCTTATTACTCCACTCCACTCCACCAAGTCTAAATAAAAAGTAATTTGGAAAAATGCCAAAGGATGTAGTATTAATGAAGACTGTTGACTAGCGTGCATATACAAAGAACAGTTTCAGTAGAGGTTTGTATGTATGTATGTATAAGGTTTTACGGCGCTCGCAACTGCTAAGGTCATATGAGCGCGCGAAACACAAGTTGTTCTCCTTTGCAAAAGTTCACTTCACGACTGGTTAACTAATTTACTTTAAAATGCTAAAAAGTTAAAAATATTTAAATTCGGTGTAAATACATTTGTGGTTTAAAACAACCCTTAAGTAACAATAAAATTTTTTAATAATATCAAATTCACTCTACAACTCGCCATAAGGCCTTTATAAAATTTAAAATTCTGCTGGGAACAACGACGGAAAAGATATCCTGCAATTTCTTGCATTTATAATATTTCCTTCGGATCTCTCCAAAGTCTAGACATTCTGTTAAAA